CTCCAAACCCAGATCAGTGGCTTTTTTTTTTTTTTTTTTTTTTTTTGGTGGATGATAGGCACGTTAACCGGGGCCCTTACCTGGTTTTTAGCCTAAACTGTGCCTTGTAGACATACCCTGTTTGTTAAGGAAAGAGACAGGCAGAAGAGCTGCTTCTGGGAACAGGGTAGACTTATTTGGGACCTGGGTAAGGGGGAGTTGCCTCTGTGCAGTTTCTTACAACCCTTGTTTGTGGAATCAAGACTTATGTACATTTGGTAAATAAATAAATTACAGTAAGAAAATACCTGACTGCTTAACTGATTTCTGCTTCAGATGGGAAACCAAACTGCAAGGCCTCAAAAATCTGCTACCCTTGCCAAAGGAACAACATTATTTATTTGTATTTACAGTAATGCCTAGAGGCTCTTAGGTTATGTCTACGCTAGCACCTTTGTTGGTAAAACTTTTCTCAGTCAGGGGTATGAAAAAAACACACCTCTGACCAACATAAGTTTCACTGACAGAAGCGCTGGTGTGGACAGCACTGTCGGCGGGAGATGTTTTCCTGCTGACATAGCTACCGCCGCTTGTTGGGAGTGGTTTAATTATGTGGATGGGAAAGCTCTCTCCATCGGCATAGAGCGGCTAGGCTACCCTGGAGACCTTACAATGATGCATCTGCAGCAGTACATCTGAGCCACTCTATGGTCTGTAGTGTAGACATAGCCGAAGTGAGATCAGGACCCCACTGCTCAAACAGGGCTAGTCTTCACTAGAAGTGTTACAGCTGCACTGCTGTAGTGCGTCTGGTTAAGACGCTCTGTGTCGACAAGAGAGAGCATAATAAAACCATCTCCATAGCAATAGCTATGATGTCAGGAGAATCTCTCCCACTGACATAGTGCGGTCCACACCAGCCTTAGGTTGGTGTAACTTATGTCATCACTCAGGAGAGTGGCTTATTCACACCCGCGAGTGACATAAGTGGTAGTGTGTACAAGCCCATCATAAGAGAGAGTCTGCCCTGAAGAGCTTGCAATCTAAATAGACAAAATAATGAAAGGGGGCGGGGAGAGAATCAAAGCATGGAGAGGTGAAGTGACTTGTCCAAAGTCACAAAGCAGGTCAATAGCAGGACTAGGAAGATAACACAAGCTTCCTGAGTCCCAGCCCACTGCCTTATCCACTAGCCCACTCTGGCTCTTGGACAAAACCCTAGAGTTTGGGCCAGGATCCAAGTAGCACTATAGATTTGTTTACAGACTCTACACCAGGGATCTCAAACTCAAATCACCACGAGGGCCACATGAGGACTAGTACATTGGCCCGAGGGCTGCATCACTGATACCTTTTCATACAACAATACAAAAGTATAGTCAAAAATTAAGAATAATGTAGTATGCTATTAAAAGTCAATGAATTAACTTTTTAAAAACTGTAATGCGAAAAGTCAGTGCTAATTTTGACAGTCATTTCATTTTTTGGCCACTTAGCTGGCAGCGTTTTGCATCAATCAGCATCAATATTAGGTTTGATATCCTCAGACTAAACCAATCTCGGTGTTGCTTGCAAATTGTACCATATTCCATACAAAAAATACACGAAAAGAATGTTAAGACTGCACAGTTAAGCACTTGTGCCAAAATTAGGGTTGCACACACAACTTTTTCTCTGCCCCTTTGAGACTGTTATCATGTAATCTTTTAATTACAGGGTCACGTACTGTTTCTCAGATAATATATACCTTTTTTCTACGCTCTTAAATTGTATAGCATCTTACAGTGATTTTTCTACTGACTTTTACTGCATTGTCACAGTAGCCCAATATATGCTTACTAGCAAAAGACTTGCCACTTAGCCACTCAAGTTTATGGTAAGTATGAGTGAGGGTGGGCAAATGTGTGTTGTGATGGGAAGCTGTGTTGATTTGTGCCTGGGTTGTGTTGTGCTGGGAGATTTTGATTGATTTGTGTTGGTGACAAATCAGGGGTGTTTGCTGAGGTGAGGGGCTATCTGTATTTGGACTTGCTGGTTGTGTTGTTGTGTAGGTGGTTGTGCTGATGATATGTGAGGTGGCAGCTAGGCACAAGGGTGTGGCAGTTGGGCCAAGTAATCCACCATCTGTGAAGTCTCCCTCATACAGCCAATGAAACTGTAGCATGCAAATTAGCTATTGAATAAGGGTGGTGATTGGTTGAGTTATCTCTGATATCACGATGGTCTAGTACTCTTGACACAACACACCTTTCTGTAATTGTACACCAATTGTCAAGTCAAAATAGCTGAGAACTTCAAAATTGGTTGGTAACAGACTGCAAAACCCCCACTCCACCCCTTCCATGAGGCCCCGCCCCACCCTGCCTCTTCCCACCCCTTCCCCGCCCCCATTCCAACCCCTTCCCCAAAGTCCCTGCCCCTATTCAAACCTCTTCCCTAGATCCCAGCCCCTCCTCTTCTCCGCCTCCTCCCCTGAGCACACCGTGTCCCCGCTTCTCCTCCCTCCGTCCTGGAAAGTCCTAAGCGCCACCAAACAGCTGTTTGGCGGTGGGAAGTGCTGGGAGGTAGGCGGAGGAGCGGGGATGCGGTGCGCTGGGCGATGGGAAGGGGAGGGAAATTTGGCTGCCAGTGGGTGAGAGCACCCACTAATTTTTCCCTGTGGGTGCTCCAGCCCCGGAGCACCCACGGAGTCGGTGCCTATGCGGCCCGGGGGCTGCGTGTTTGAGACCCCTGCTCTACACAAACAATTAGACTGCAGCAAGCTCGGGTGTGAATCTGATCCTCACTAGCCTGTGGGGCTATCTAACTGCTTATGTGCAAAGCTCATTAATTAACTATTGACACACGTCCGCAGGGTCCATACAAACAGTTAGACCGGGGCAGGTTAGTGCATGGTAGATTCACACTCCAGCTTGCTGCAATCTAATCATTTGTGTAAACAAGCCTGTACTGTGCAAGAGCTTCTTGGGGAGCTACTTGTCTACTTTGTGCTGGCCTTGATGCATGAAGTGTCCCCCATTCCATGTACGCTGGCCTTCGCACTGTGGGAAAGGTTGTCCCCGTCTGTAGAAAATCCCATGAGAGGAGAGTGGTGGAGGGATGATAATTCCATGCAGTTCCCCTTGCTGACTTTTCTCCCATATTGTTCTGTGGGGCAGGATGGAAATTCTCTCTTTTACCCTTCCACCACAAAAGGGAAAGGCATTTGGTCTCTGGAAGCACAGGACCATCTGGATGTAGATTCTGTGCCTTCCCATTCCTTTCTGGCCTGCAGTTGCTCTTTTTGATACATGCATCCTCCCCTCCAGACCCATCAATGCCCTTTCAGTCAGCATAGTACCATTAGCCTACAACAGTGGTTCTCATCTCATCTGGGGGTACACTGAGATCTACCGGGGGTACATCAACTCATCTAGATGTTTGCCTAGTTTTACAACAGGCTACGTAAAAAGCACTAGCGAAGTCAGTACAAATTAAAATTTCATACAGACAATGACTTGTTTATACTGCTCTATATACGTACTATATATTTATATAATATTTATATTCCAATAGATTTATTTTATAATTATATAGTAAAAATGAGGAAGCACGCAATTTTTCAGTAATAGTGTGCTGTGACACTTTTGTATTTTTATGTCTGATTTTGTAAGCAAGTAGTTTTTAAGTGAGGTGAAACTTGGGAGGGTAGGCAAGACAAATCAGACTCCTGAAATGGGTACAGTAGTCTGGAAAGGTTGAGAGCCATTGGCCTACTACAAGCATGTTACAAATGGTTGTTTTTGAAGTGTAGGTAGGGCCTGAGTGTTGAAGAATGTATGGTACATTTCACAATTTACAGTAAATTTGTATTGTAACTGTCATTCATTTGTTGATTTTTTTTGTCTTGACAATATTTTAGTTTCTCTTTTCTGTTGTCGAAAATAACTACATATAATTGTGTATGCAAAATATAGGGCTTAAGAGTTTGTGGTGGTTCTATTTCTTTCTTTTTTAATCAAATGTACCATCTGTTCATTGCCCTGGACATATGCTACACATTTTAAAAAAATTGAAAGGGTGAAATAAATTCTGTGGCTAGTGAGTGATTCTATGGCTTTATGACTGTAAACACACAAAAGACAAGTATTGAGATTTTTAAAATGGATTGTGATTTACATGAATTTAAGTGGCTGCATTATTGCCATCTCTGCAGTGCTGTCTTATTTTTAATAGTATTATATGAAGTTCTCAGATTTTTATGGTTAGAAAAGTCTATTTTGTTCTTAATAAGTATGTGAAACTCTTACTAACTAAACCAGGGGCGGGCAAACTTTTTGGCCTGAGGGCCGCATCAGGTTTCATAAATTGTATGGAGGGCCGGTTAGGGGAGGGGTTGTGCCCCAACCCCCACCTCCCCCCCGGGACTCTGGGTATACCTGGGTTAAACTGTTAGATTAGCTAGGTTTTGGATGTTTTTATCACTGTGGATGAAAACCTGTGTGCTTGAGTAACATCCACGCTAGTGGCTTAGCCCCATTGCTAGCTGTTACTGTAAAACAAATTGCCAATTTTTCAAGTGCAAATGGAATTGCCCAGGAAGTCTGTGGCAGAACTGAGTAAAACCTAGATCCCCATACACCTATGCTTTAACCACCAGACCATGCGTCCTCCCTGTACAATCTATAATTAACATATATTTTTTATTTTTTTTAA